TAAGGAACCTTTTAACTGCAAAAACCATGAACACCAAAAGAGAGAGTCTGCTCTCAAAACTTCATTGCAAGTTGCTCTTCCTTGAGTGAATGCTGGTCTAATGGAAGTAACCTCTGTGCTCTTCCAAAATTTTTCTGAACTGTTTCTAGTACACATTTATCATAAACTTCAAAGTTGAGAGAATTAGAACTTCTGGTGTCAACAGTCTTTCCCAACAACACATATTTACCACTCAGTCCATGGGCTCAAATCAGGACCTTCCAATCCAGTGCATTAATCTTAAGTCAATAATAAGTTACTGATTAACTTGTTGCAAAATTACAAATTGAGTTATGCCTACCTTTGTTTCTGGACTTAGACCTGTTGCAGTAAAAAGATATTGCCAGAGAGGAAGGCCAAGATGGACTATCATTCTGAAATAATCATTGAAAGATGAAGCAAGATACCACCATTCCAGTGAACGATCAAGAAACCAGATCTCAGGTTGTCCTGTTGTTACTCCTGAGAAAAGAGGATTTTGTGATGAGGATTGACATGTTTTTTTTCTCTATTTTGAGCACATACCAAAAATCCGCTAATTTTGAGAACTAGCAAACTTGCAGAGAAGAGACAGAAAAAATGAAGGATATTCCAATGCCAAGAACTTAGTTGACATAAAAGAATGTCTATGTTGTGGTTCAATTTTATCCTTGGTTCAAATTTTATTTTCCTTTGTTTCAAACTTGTTATCATACATTACAATACGCAAAAACAAAAGAAAACAAAATTTGAACCAAGGATAAAATTGAACCAAACATCTATGTCAACCATTTGGCAGCTTGGAAAAATCTACGATTTTATTTGAACTGTCCAACTTCACCCACCAGCTTTGATGTCTTTGTAAACCAAACAGACTTTACCATAGCTGTCACATGGATCCAGCTCAAAAACCTTGCAGCGATTATCAAAGTGTGGTTTTATGTGACCTGGTGAGGAATTGAAAACAAAGGAAAGAACATCATCTGATGATCACTAG